GTTCAGTCGCTCTCTGGTTCTCTCCCCCCTGTCCCCCTCTCAGAGATCGTGCAGCTGGCCGAGTGCAAACGCGTGGTGCAGGTGGAGGTGGTGGGCGGCGCCGAGTGCGTGGCCGTGCTGTGTGGGCGGAGCCGCTCGGTGAGGCTGTTCACGTGGGACGAGCTCAAGGACCCGGACTGCGGGGGCTCCAAGCTGCCCGACACCCGCGGGGTCACCGTGCTGGCGCAGGGCAGCCTGGCTCAGGGCACCCAGCCCTGCCTGTGCGTGGCCATCAAGAGACAGGTGCCTGGACCCCACAGCACCGCCGCCGCGCCCCTGCCCGCCCCCACGCCTCTCTGACGCAGCCTCTCCCTCTCTGTCGCCCAGGTGCTGTGCTACCGGCTGGCCCCCGGCGCCCCGCGCTGCGCCAGGCTCTGCGAGGTGCAGGCGCCGGCCCCCGTGCAGTGGCTGGGGGTGTTCGGGGACCGGCTGTGTGTGGGGTACCCCTCCGGGTTCTCTCTGTACTCTCTGGTCAAGGAGGTCCCCCCTGTGGCCCTGCTGAGCCCCGAGGACCCCTCCCTCCTGCCCCTCCCCCAGCCCCCCGCCCCCGACGCCCTGTGCGCGGTCGAGATCGCCCGGAACGAGCTGCTGCTGTGCTTCGCCAGCGTGGGGCTGTACGTGGACTGCAGGGGGCGCCGCGCTCGCCACAGGGAGCTGATGTGGCCCAGCCTGCTGACGCACTGCTGTGAGTGAGAACACGGGAGCAGGGGGTAGCTACTGGTTCCACACTCCCGCCACCCTTGGTGTAAAGAGGTGCCTCCTGCTCTGTAGTTAAAGCCCTTTACTGACTGACAGGCTCAGTCCTGGCTCCAGGCTCAGACACACTGATTCGCACTGCTGGGCTTGCTTTGACAGCGTCTCCCTTCACCTCTCTCATCCCTTGTGTCTCGCTGCAGGTTACAGCGCCCCCTACCTGTTGGCGTACAGTGAGAGCGGCATCCATGTGTTCGATGTGAAGAGCATGGAGTGGGTCCAGACCATCGCAGTCCAGAAAGTGAGAATAGCCTTCCAGTGCCCAAGGGCTCCCCAG